GAACTCAGTTTTGATTCTGTAGAATATGGTTCGAGGGACTCCATAAATGATTCTCCATGCCTTCATGCAGACCAAACCCCTCTGGAAGACCATGCCCCCCACCTGATGTTCTGAAGCATCAACAGATGACCGTAATGCCTCATACACAAAATTGCGAGCTGCCTTCCAGGACAATGTCTTGTATCTTGCTCTCTCCTCTTCAATAGCATCCCAATCAGCATGTTGACAGCACCTCCTCTTACAACAAGCAACTGTCAAGACCATTCGAACCTCCATCGCCATTTTCTACCTTTTCAGTTCGTTGCTCAGATCCCTTTGGCTGCGCTTTAGGAAGGTGTACTTTCTTTTCCCATGAAGAGATGTTATGTCATCAGTTGTAGTGGTGTTTGATTGTGAATCCTTCACATTCTCAAACACTAAGTGCCTCAATTTCCAGCGCACAATGCTTCCAATAGTCAGACTATTTTCTTCTGTGTCAACAACCTCTAAAATTGCAACTCCAATATCATCCCAACCCAATTCTTGATTAGCAACCGCATCTCTTGGATCGACAACTGTGGCTAAGCCCTTAGCTACCACCTCCCCCTCGGGGTTGTTTAGAAACACCTTTGCCTGAATCCATGTAGCACGGTTCTTAAGATCCACGGAAGGAACATGCGTCGCACTTGTGCTGTGCCCAACATCTGCTTTCTTCTGAAGATTTTTCAAGGCAACAACAACATTTACCCCGACGACCATCTCTCCTCGTTCAATAGCGACCACATTCCCATCGAAAACAGTCTCTACTGATACAGCAGCATTGCCTTCCCCAAGCCTTTGATAGTGTATAACAAAGTTCCGATCCATAGACACAAGGGTCCCTTTTGCAACTCTCTTCCCACCATTCAAAATATAAACCTTTTCCCCAACCTTGAAGGCCATTCTGAAAGTGCAAAAAAGAAGTTAAGACAATACAAAAAATGATTGGAGAATGGCCTAAATCATAACATACCAAACAACCTCAATAGCATGAGGCCACATGCCATTATTCAAACATGCTATTGACACCCACGTGAAATTTCACATTCACAAAATTGGCATGAGCCCTCATGCCATTAGTGGTACCACTAATGGCATGAGGCCTCACGCTATCTTTGGCCCCTGCTAGCCTGTTGCTATATTCCTTTTGCCTTGCTGCAACTGTATATATTTTTGTGTGGGTGACTAGTCACCCATACAAAACATACCAGGAAGCACAAGTGCCGAATATCAAGAGGAAGCGGTAGCCACACCAAAGACAGTGCCGCTCGCAACACCACAACTGCTCGTAGCACTGCTCGCAACACCGCAACTGCTCGTAGCACCGCTCGCACAAACTGCCACTCGCATAAACTACCGCTCGCAATGGCGCTTGCAATGCTGCAACCGCTTGTAGACACATAAACCACAGCTCACAACGCCGCTTACACAAGCAGCGCTCACTGCGCTTAGCGGAACCAAGAACACGGCGCACAAAAATGATAGATTTAGGAATGAGTTCGAGAATTCAAAAATAACACACGCTTGAACGTCACATCAAATCCTCTAACAAACCAGATCTTATGATTCCTCTAACAAATTTTAAACTGAGTAGCTTCTAGACTTTGCTGTCGGAGGTTGAACTTTGTCACATCATGTCCTTGCCTCGATCCAGCTGTGCCATGTCAGTGATTCGAACTTTGCCATGCCGTGTCAGCGATCCGCGCCAAAATTATTTGCCGTGTAAAGGAATAATTATGCTGTGTGTGTACGTCCATTTATGGCAATATAAGGCCACACGCCATTCAAAGAATAATGCTAGTCGAGCATTTTTTGGTGCATTTTTGGGTTCAAAATTGCATGAGCCCACACGCTATAAAGTTTACCTATACCAAAAATAGAAACAGCTTTATTTACTTGGGAATTTAAGTGGTTGAGGCATTTTTAAACTTACAAACACATGCCCTACTTACATTCCTTTGGTTGCTTAAAATTCAAAAATATTATAAACCTTTCTTTTTACATTTTCAATATTTTCAATTATGGTTTTTGATTTTCGTAGGACCAGCCTAGTAATCTATTTGCATCCCGTCATGTTTATAGCTAGCTTTCGTTTGTCCCCTTCGCTAGCCTGAGATACATCTGCTCGGCATCTGCCTCTTACAGCATTTGCCCAGAAAGGGCATCTTTCTTCACGCAGCATTTGCCACATGTTTAGGGTTTAGGGTTTAGCAATTCAGTAGCTTGATAAACATGCAAATACAGAACTTGATGCAAAATCCTTTGATATGTCACAATGCCCCTAGGACCATAAACACATTTCAATAGAGAGGGTCCTTTCATTTCATAACTCCTTACGTAGATCTTGGTGAAACCAGAGTTAGTGAAGTTAGTTTCTTGTGATCCCGCATCTGATTGTGATGTCCCTTTGTAGTGTCGATGGAAAGGTCAATGCACACCAAACTGTAAAATCTTGGAGCAAAATAACGGTCGGATCTATGGCAAATGCCCCTGAAACATTGTAAAGCTCGTGTGGTCTCATGTGGTGTCCCATTGAGATGCTTCTTTGTAGGGTCATCAAGAAAGACATTGTATACCATTCTGTAAAATTTAGTTGCAATCTAACGGTTGGATCTCCAGAAAACTCAAAAAAATCTCGCGCATGTCAGAATATTCTAGGAATATACTCCTATATGCCCCTGAAAATGGCATGCGGCCCCACGCCATTCAAGAGATAATGCCAGATGACGCCGAACATTTTTTGGTGCATTTTTTGGGATCAAAATTGCATGAGCCCACACACTTGAATGTCACATCAAATCCTCTAACAAACCAGATCTTATAATTCCTCTGATAAATTTCAAACTGAGTAGCTTCTAGACTTTGCTGTCGGACGTTGAACTTTGTCACATCATGTCCTTGCCTCGATCCAGCTGTGCCATGTCAGTGATTTGAACTTTGCCATGCCATGTCAGCGATCCGCGCCAAGATTATTCACCGTGTAATTGCTCGGCATCTGCCTCTTACAGCATTTGCCCAGAAAGGGCATCTTTCTTCACGCAGCATTTGCCACATGTTTAGGGTTTAGGGTTTAGCAATTCAGTAGCTTGATAAACATGCAAATATAGAACTTGATGCAAAATCCTTTGATATGTCAGGACCATAAACACATTTCAATAGAGAGGGTCCTTTCATTTCATAACTCCTTACGTAGATCTTGGTGAAACCAGAGTTAGTGAAGTTGGTTTCTTGTGATCCCGCATCTGATTGTGATGTCCCTTTGCAGTGTCGATGGAAAGGTCAATGCACACCAAACTGTAGAATCTTGGAGCAAAATAACGGTCGGATCTATGGCAAATGCCCCTGAAACATTGTAAGGCTTGTGTGGTCCCATGTGGTGTCCGATCAAGATGCTTCTTTGCAGGGTCATCAAGAAGGACATTGTATACCATTCTTTATTTAGTTGAACATCTGGCATTTTTGGAAATACAAGATGCTTTGGAATATCCAATCATGCATGGTATAAATATAGCGAGGGTATTAAATGATATCCTAATCATGATCTTTCTTTTGGATTTCGCGTGCATGCAGTCCGAGGAATGATGACGTTGCGGATTTCTTTTGGATTTCACGTGCATACATGCGCGCGGCGATCCAGAAATTAATGATGGCGCCCAAGTCCGAGGAATGATGACGTTGCGGGATTACCAACCGTCGTGACATTTCGCGCGTGTGAGGTTAGGTTTTGCATCGTACTCGTGCTCGCATCGCGCTCCCACTCGCAATCACGCTCACATTCGCGCTCATCTACTTTCTCTACAGGTTTCTCGTGTGCATCGGCGTCCCTCAATACAAAGAAAGAAAAGGGGAGGAATAAATCATTTGGAGATGAAATATTTATGTATA